AGTCAATTTGTTTAAACAATAAAAACTTTTATGTATATAAATGCTCTGATTACTGACTCACATCGAATCAGTTTAGAAACCGATTCACTTCCTGTCATGTTAAATATATATGTGTAAAATTAGATATCTGTGTATTGTTGCAAAAGGGATAATAATCGTCACTTATTATAAGTGAAACAACAACAGTAATTGAGAATTTACTTGTAATCCTTGGTCCATATGCCTAAACACTTTAAAGAGGATACTGCAGAATTATTTATCTAAGTTTGCAAATCAGAGTGCCCATCTCTCTTTTCTCTGCGTTTTGGGCTAAATTACAAGAATTTTTCAAACCGGGGCCACAACATATTCAGAATATAAAGTTAGTGCTAATTTTAATATATAGTATGCATTGATATTCTGAAATTTAGTGACAAAATGGGGCAGTGGGGGAGGGGGAAGGGTGGGTTAGCCTACTAGATCCACCCCTGAATTCTGTGTGTGTTTATCTCTCCATCTGTACAACTGTTCCGGCATATTCAAAAACCCATTATATTCCTGGAATTGAAGAGATGTGTATTCAAACCGCCAACCTCAAAGTTTCAAAGCCCAGGCCACTACCTCTGCCGCCAATACTCTTCCTTATGATACTTATGAAAGGCAATATTTGCCAAAATAGTAATAGTAGTATGAGGAACATACTGTACATTTACAATGTATATTTATAAATGATGAATAACTATAAATGAACAATGTACTTTTTGACAAATATACTGTATTAGAAAATATTATTTATATTAATGAAAAAACTTTCCAAAAAAAATGTGTAAATTTAGTGGGCCAAGTCTTTGCCTCTTGCACCCCTGCAAGCAAGAAAAAAATAACCCATCTTCCACAAATTTAGAATATTTTGCATATTTTTACTGTACTTTTTGTATAAATTGTCTCACGGAAAATAGTATTGATGGGAGTCACCATAATGTAGCAATATAAAAATTTTGACCAGATCTTCTGGAAGTGACTTGGCCAGTTTGGGGCCCCTGTAATTTCACAGACTATATTTCACCAATAACATTGTACATTAGCATTTGAAGTACGATGTTCATTTGTAAAAGTATGTCATTCGTTTGGAAAATGAAGTACATGTTCACAAATAATCTTGTACTTTCTTTCACAAATGAACGACACTTTTACAATCACTCTTTCATAAAAAGAAAAATGTGTATTTTGAGTTTACTATCAGAAGCTTCTCACTTTTCAGGCAATATCCCTCAATTTAGAAATGAAAATGCGAAGTTGTGAAAGTACTTTGTTCGCCAGTAAGAGTATGTTGTACTTTTGTGAGAATACATTGTTTATTTATGAAATGAACATGTTTGAAAATGTAGGTTGTTCATTTGTGAAAGTATGCTGTTAGTTCTTAAAAGTAATTTGTTTCTAATGTATGTTGTGTTTTTGTACATTGTTGAAACAAATAAAGTTTCTAGAACTTGTGCATCAGGTTGGTTATATATAAATATGTAGGTCATTGGTTTCTAATTTTAGAAAGGGAAATTGAGTATTTTATATCCTCTCATTTATTTTATTTTTGTCATACGTATATAAATATAATTGCAGCCTCCTTCAAACAGGCTTCAAAAATAGTCACCTGAATGATTAGACTGAAAATGGTCTATAATTACCAACCATTATCTGTGTCTCAATCCTAGACTACGTTCAGCAATCCATCCCAGGAAATGTGAAGAATATCTTTAGAAATCAAAGGAGAAAGTTGCTCTAAAATACATCTTTAGGAAACCGTGTTCAATTAAGAGTGGAATTAGCAATAGATGATGCCATTCTGCTCAATACGAGTCAATTATGTTTGAATCCAAAAATGAATCATGTTTTATAACCTTTCTCATTAATGTTGACCTTAAACAAAAATCCATTCCACTCAGTAGAACCACATACAATGCAACAAAAGAAAGAAAATTACCATTTTTTAAGAAGGAAATTATTGTTAATTATGGAAATGCTGGAAAAAAAAAAACTACATGTAGAAAATGAATGCAAAGATATTAATTCCTATTTAATGAAAGCTTTGGCAATATCATGGCAGAATGATGGATAAAACATTTTGATGTAACAAAAATAACACCTGCCTTTTTATACTGTTTGACTTATCATGACCTATCGTCCCCACCCCTCCTCCTGTCAATATAATATCATGTTTTGTGCCAAATTTGTGTCATTTGTCGATATATGTGAACATACTGTATATCAAAAATATATGGCATGATAATGTCATATTACAGTATACCCATTGTGAGCAAATCATAAATGTTGATAGTGTGTGTAAGAAACTTAGGAGTACCTAACATAATATATTATCGCATATTAACTGAATATTACATCAACTATACTGTATGTTGATTTCTCTAACAAAATTGCAAAGAAAATTTAGACTGATTTAACTGCATGTTTTTCAAAACACTGCAAATAAAATGTGAAATAGAAAGTGTTTTCATAAAGGAATATGCTATATGTCAGCAACTAGTGAGCGAAAAGTTATGACTTTTTGCTACATGATGTGTAAAAAAAAAATGTCATAACACAGAAGGGGCTACAAAATATTAGATGGGACACTGCTGATGAAAAATGACAACATTAAATATGAAATCATAAGCAGGATAACATAACCTTGACATTAACAGTAAAATTAATTTTCGTATGGAGAACTCGTCCAGAACTTTAGAAATGTTTTAAATGTCTTGCGTTTGGAGTACTGTAATATATCTCTATAAATAATGTAATATGCCTCAGTGAATAATGTACTCATACAAATACTGTAGTTTGGAATGTCATGGTACTGACTACAAGCCTTAGGGAGCCAAGTACATTATTTATACAAGCATTTGTTCCAAATGACCAGAATCGTAATGTGAAGTGCGTAGATCTTGGCAATATATACAGTACATCACTAATGTATAGTTCATTATTATAAGCCACTTGGCAATATATACTGTACAACACCAGTTCATTATTATAAGCCACTAAATTAGTACACTGTTACCTCATAACCGCTACATTATTCATGATGTAATTATCAAGCAATAATATGTATGCTAGATATATAGACATAGTAGTTTAGTCCCGTTTCTTTATTTATCCACACAGGATTGTTCTTACCTGGGGCATACACAAAACTGTGACAATATATGATATTATGACTAGAGTTACAAATATATAGATGTAAAAATAAATCAATAATGTTCATGCAGATTTAGCCTGAACTTATGAAAAAGTGCTTATATGTTGTTGTCATTCGATTCTAATGCTCTTATAGACAAGTCCAATTTGGAAAAGGGGCTCTCTATTGGTGCCGTCATTGCCAGGGATCTCCTTGCTTCCCCACCCCCCCTTCCCACATGCTTGTACGTCCATGTATAGTGGTGTTAGATACTTCGGAAACAACACAATATTGTGTTGTATGAAGAATGCAAAAATAAATTAAAATTTCTATGTGTATGGCCCGCCAACCGTCTTTGGCTTAAAAACCCCTTGGCCCGTATTCTCAAATGTGGACTAACTTTAGTCCTGGACTAAATCTGGATTTAAACCAGGACTATCTAAAATTTGTATTCTCGAAGGTGGACTAAAGTTAGTGTAGGTTTACGGCCCGACACTGATAATTCAACATTTTGAATTGCATTCACTTGTTCATTTCTAATTCAACTTGGAAAGGATTTGATGGAAGTCAAAATCCGTTTTACAGTCTTAAAGATGTAAATGAAAGCTATAAAATGGTAAAAGAATCCTTGAAATCTGAAATTTCCTTATGAAGTTACAAGTGTTTAAACTTACAACTGTTTAAAGAACAATATATACGAAATCAGCCTTTGAAGTTTATGATTTCGGACATTTCTAAGGAAGAAACCATCACCAAATTGTTAAAAATTGTTTTAACATTGAAAATGGGGAAATTAACAGCATATCATGATGTTAGTTAGTAGTGCAATAAAATAGATTTCAAACATTTTGACATTTGAGGATGATTTGACCATTATCTCTGAAACACGATTTGCGATGAATGATTGCTTTGGCTCGTCTTTGGCACATATACTGCCAGACATAAATGCGTTTACAATGCTTAAGTTAATAGTAAGGTTCCCCTGAATTCAGTAGTTGAAGCTATGCACATCAATCGGAAACAGATGCCAATCTTAGAATTTTCATCTTCCTATCGTTTTTGCCAGAAAATTATTGAACTATATGATTAATATCTTGCAAGTTTAAGATTATGAAGGTAACCTTCGACAGTCCAAGAAAAGTCCAGCTTATCTGGAGGGTTTTAATGCCAGCATCTTACCTCGGATGAAGAACGGTAAACTTGTGACGGAACTCGTTTATCCATTAAATCCCGTAATTCTTTTGGAACTTTTATGTTGCCTTGAAAATTTTCCCGTTTGACCTAAATATGCCTTGATCATATTTACTTGATTGATACATTATATATTCTTCATAACATATTTTAAGCCATAAATGTATTATTTATCATCCAGTGACATGCACGTGGTCTTCTCTGGAAGTCCTTACAGTAGATACCACATGCTCCTTCATCTTTTTTTCTTATATTCTCGTTTCTCAAAATCCTAGCCTCTTAATAGCATTGTCAAATGACATTAGTCAACAATGTTATGTGTCATCATTCCTGATGATGACATAATGAATGATAAAATATTCAATTCCAGCACGATGGCGTGTATTTCAGTAATTGACGTATGTATTATACTTTGTTATAAACATATAGTGTTTATACAAAAACTGTATTTTTTGAATTGTGAAAGTGTTACTGTGCTGCATATTGGCCTCTCTGACTAGTTACCAATGTTAATTGGGGGTGGCATAGAGTGGAGGTGGTGGTTGGTTGCTCTTTCATGGAGCCAGATTAAATTATTATTTGCTTTGTTGTTGTTGTTTTTTTTTATTTTTTTTATTAATGTTCATTATTAATCTATCAAACTTATTCTCATCCATAGGTGTGCTTACTAAAAACCGGTTGTTTTGAAGTGGTTCTCCTACAACTGTGTTACCTGTTTGACACAAGTACTTTCACCCTTACCTTAAATGGAACAGTCTATTCAAAGAATGATTTTGTTCACATGGGTAAGAGTCATACATCCCTTACAGCCACATACAGTCTATGAGGACATTGCTCTCACATTAATGCTGTCCAGTGGTTTAAACTCTCTGTGAACTTACAAACACATATATAGAATTAACCAAATTCAGTAGCATGCTTATCGGCTTATAAACAAGTCTAACTGAATAACATTTGTATGTTTCATGTAGTCAGTTACAATCTAAACTGGATCTTTTACTTCACGCGCCGATTGGGCTCATTGTCATATTTCTATGCTTTAATTCTAGCAGTATATTTAAAAAAATGAACAATTGCAGTGTTAGATATTAAGATGTAGCATTATTTAGATATAGAAAACAAAGACTAATATGTTATCTTAAGAGCTATGTACAGTAGAATGTGGCTTCATGTTCCAAAAAAAAACAAAAACCATGTTTATCTGTGCTTGCATGGTAAGTTCTTCATTGGTTGGCCGTCATAGTCTCATAAACATCCATACATGCTGACATTTACAATATATTGGTCTTATGACCCTTCGTTACGAGTGTAACGACAGGTCATGCGGCGGTCGCTGTACGATTAGTATTTGTAAAACGTATGATGGTATGCTGTGGAGATACAGTGCTGCTCATCTTTCAAGTTTGATGATCTATCGATGCCAAAAAAAATCAAATCCATGTTCATCAGACTTAAAAAATCTATTTACTCATTGGACTCCAACTCTATGCAGACTAATTGAATCATGAACTACAATTATACATCAGAATTGATTTGATTACATCTCGCCAACAGCAAGAAACCTGTCGGTTGGAGATGGACAATCCCAATGATGAAAATTCTCATTTAATTTTCATCTCAACAGAAATATATAAAATAATACAAATAATAATAATCTATAATGTGAAAAAATGTGTTGTCAGCTTCAATTGGCTCTGGTGCAGATCGATAAACAATAGAGAGTGGGAGATTCAAGGGAGCCCGACCAGACTGTCCCCTTCCCACCTAAATTTTTCAAAATTAAAAAAACTGTGGAAAAAAAAGAAACTTATATTCAAATTTATATCTGAGAGTGCCATATCCAGCCATCTAGAGATGCCGAAATTCCTCCCCTCTGCCCCAACCACAGTGGGGCTGAGTTGGTGTCGACCTTCATCTGTCAAAGTTTCTTTTGGGGCCCCTCTAGAGTATTTCCAATTCCTGGATCCGCCTCTGATTGCCTTTTTTTTCTTTCCTTTGTATTCAAGCCCTTATCATTGATTAAGTGTTGGAGTTGACACATCAAATTGTATTTAATATACTTTTATAAAAGAGAGTTTAAAAATGCACTGTAAAGAAAATGTATTTTAAATGTATCAACTATAAAATTGCTATATTTTGTTTTTAATATGATGAGCTGTTTTCTATATCTAAATTTTGATACTCAACCAAATATACATGTCTGATTCGGAGGACATGCCATTAAACTCAGGCCTAGACAGTACTGCCTCGAAGATTGTGAGTAACCAACCGCACGTGTATAACAAATGAAAAAATAGGCACATGCTAGACATGATTTTATATTTATACCAACATATAACATTGACTAATGTCAATGTACCCTCAATGTTATGATCTTTATTTTTGAGATCTCGAAACATGATAATTAACACACGCGGCAGGCCATGTTGGTCAGTTCAATTTTCTATTGTTTTACATATTTGAATTAAATGAATTTAATAAAGTTATTTTTTTCCCCTCTCTTTCTTTAGGTCTTGACATTTTAATGAATGCTATGTTTGATTTTGCAACTCAAGTGAACCGACTAAAACTAACAAAAGAGGAGATGATAATGCTCCAGACGGCTGTCATGATAGCCAGTGGTAAGAGCAACATTACTAATAATTATGATAGTAATGGTCAACTTATAGAGTGCATGTTGTGGAGACTTATGCACTTAACATTGTTACCCCCCGGTCATTGGATCAAGCACATGTCGAACACATACAGTACTCAGCTCCCTGGGGGGGGGGGGGAACTCGATAATGTTTTAGCTGTAATTAGTGAAGTTTGTGTTTAAACCTACCAAATACCCACTCCTGGGTGGAAAGACAACCGTGCGTTAAGTGCCTTGATTAAGTACACAAGGGAAAGGCACAGTGAGGGATTGAACCCTTGACCCCAAAGTTGAGTTGCTCCTTTACTACATCAGTATTTCATATCATTATCAGCATCATCACCATCATCATTTTTATCATAATCACCCTTATTAGCATCACCAACATTGTCATCATCAAAAAATATAAATTGATAATAATCAAAATTGTGATTGAGTTGTATAATTATATATAATTACATTTTAATGGTGCTATGAATTTTGTTATTGACACAATCTTAACCATACCAATAAAACAATTTTTTTGTTTATAATTGTCAGAAATTGTCTACAATCTTGATATTCATGTCCCACAACAAATACTGTAATAGGCTGTAAAACGCATCAGAAAAGACCAAATATAATAAAAATATTATTGCTAATTATGGCAAAATATTGTAATTATCTTTTAATTGTTTGAAATAATTGTTTTCATCATATTCTGTATTGCAGACCGTCCAGGCCTGAAGAACAGTGACATAATCAAAGGCATTCAGACAGACATCCTAGCCACCCTCGAACACCTCCTCTCTCACAGTCACCCTAAGGAGTTCACCGTGTTCCCATCCTGTATTCAGATTCTTTGGGGCCTTCGTATCTTGAGTGAGCGTCATGCTGAAACTTTACTTGCCTACCAACAACGGTAGAATTGTATAACAGTGCCCTCCAGGGGGCAGCATATAGGTTTTCTTCAATTTCTAATAGGCCTTTCTGTATTGGATTCGTTGATATTTTCAAATTGTTTAAATTCAAATAATTATATTGATAATATAGCTATATCTGTTGCCTGTGAATGTACAATGACATGTTCCAAAAAAAGGTTTGTGTTTATCTAAACAGTAAGAGTTTTCTCTGAACTAGTCAATCTTTGTTGTTCATTATATTTAAAGAATTGGCCAAGTATCATCCTAGTTTTAAGCCCTGTCTAGACTAGAGTTTAAATATTCAAACATGTGACATGCCTAAATATGGTCATGATGACATCACATCATGTCTATATATGGGCATGCAACAAGTTTTTTGTCGAAGAATATTTTATAATCTGGACCATGCCTGGACAGAGCTTAAAATCCCCACATTCA